CGCGGACAGGCGCGACCCCCTCGATGTCGGGCGCGGCCGGTCCGCCTGGCACGCCGCGACGCCCTCGCGCAATAAGCGCCCCGCAAACGCAGCGAGCGCAACGGCTCGATCAAAATCTCGAAGCACCTGAAGCCACCCACACAACGAAAGATGCTTTTCGGCCCCCAAGACTGCGCGTGCCTTGTCGGGTCTGCCGCCGTTGCGAAGGCGACCCGACTGCAGTATTCGACTCCATTGTTTATGCCCCCATGCCTCTCTCGATGCGACGGCGCAGCCCACTTGGGGTCGCGCGCGGCCGCGTCCGCCGACTGGCCGTGAAATCTCGACTGCGCCTCGATGTTGCGCCCTCCCGCTGCCCGACTCTGTCGACTCTGAATCCGGCGCGCCCCCGGCGCGGGGCGCCTGCCAGACTGTCGACGACGCGGCAAGCCGAAGGCGTTATCTTGACCGGCTTGGCCCACGCATCGCGCGGGAAAAATGACGCACGCGCGGCGGGGGCGAGACGAAGCGAATCAGTGACTAAGCGGAGGAGAACAAGAAGGGGATCGCTGAGCGGCGCGGAATCAACCTCCAGCCAGCGCTCAGCATTCCAAAGTATGCTCGGAGCACAATTAACTCGACACCCCTGGCCGGAAGCGCCGGCGGGGGGGCGGGCCGGGGGCCGCCGCTCCAGGGGCCGCGCGGGGGCTGGGGCCACTGCGCCCCACATGAATTGTCTTCATTGGGGGCGCAACTGGCGCGACTAAACGGAGGCAGGGGAGATTGTCCATCGTTGGTTCTGACTGGCACCTGCCCGTCTGGTGTCTTGCGTCGCCCGCCGCCAACATGGCAGAGATTGGGTCTGCGCAACTGCAATGGTTCCTGGTCCGCGCGGGTTTGCCGCGCGACTTGCCGGCCCCGGGATCCCCCTGGGAACCGTGGGCGGGGGAATCGCGCTCGCGATGATTGAACATTGAACCCCCGCGGGCCACTGCGAAGTTGTCCAAGGACGCCCCCTTCAAACTCCACTTCGGATCTCGCTACTCCGCGCACGCTCGTGGGATCTGTCGGCCATCTTCCAGCGGAACTCGGGCCCTGCCTCGGGCTCCGCGGAGGCTCTGACAGACTGAGGCAACTCACGAGACGCGCCGGGGAACCCGCGCAATAAGTGCTCACCAGATTTCCACAGCTGGACCAGCAGCCCGACACAAGACCCCCGCGGGTCTCGAACGACAGAAGCTCGCGCCGCTCTGCAGCTCCGGAAAGTAGCACGCAATCAATGTGAATGCCGTCGTTGGGGCCCGCGTTGCACGTCGCCTCGACGACTGCAGCGAGCGCTGAAACTGCCGCCGGGGCCCTCTGGAGAAACTTCGACTTCGCTGTGGCAGCGAATGAAATACTGAAATCGCCAAGCACAAACCAGAGAAACTGGACCGCATTCATCAGCGTGCCTGGGGTCTGAAAGCGCCCCAAAAAGATGCCATTGACACAAATGGACGGGCGTGCAACGCATATGATGACAACGATGCTACACCACGCCCATCTGATGACCTCTGCAGTGGAAGCGCCGAGCCCCCGGCGGCGCGGGGTAGCCAGAGGCGCCGAAACAGCCGAGCTGAAAGGAGGTCGACGCAACATATTGCGCTGAGCCGTCAGCCACTCGCCACATTCGTCAGACCTCAGCTTGCGCGCTTTGGTCACACTCTTAAGCTTGAGACGAGCCGCATTCGCAACGCAACATATTCCAGCCGCCGCGGGATTTCTCGTCCTACTTCCCCACTTCTTACTTACCGGCACGAGTCCGCGCGATCCCCATGACATCGAAACGCTGCTCATAAAAAATGCAACGCTTTATCTCCTGTGAATGAAAAATTAAGAATAACAGTGCGGAAAACTTGTCATTATCGTCCCCCTCCCTTCTGATACCCTCCTGGACATTGGACCCCATCGTGACAACCACGCCCTGTTTGCCAGACCCTAGTCTATACGGGCGACGAGGCCTTATCCCGAGCTTCAGGTTGCGGCTGCCTTGGCCCTTGCCCATGCTGTTTGTTCCGTGGGCCTTCCGCTCCACAGAAATCTATCTCGGAATCTCAAATTTGGTTACCGTGATCTTCTCCGCTGCCAAGGCAAGCTACTGACCGTCGTCTCCTGCACCAGGGCCTGCGGACCCTGCGCTGGCCGAAGACCCTCCCGCTGCGCCTGCGCTGTCTGACCCACGGTGTTCTTCAGGACCCCAAAATTTGCACCATCCACTTGGCCAGGGGCTGCCTTGTCCACCCTCCTCTTTTTGAGCGCGCGGTCGCTGACAGCCCTTCGAACAGCGTCAGCCTTCTCAAATCAAATCGTGGTTTTCTTTTGTTTCTCCGTAGCCAAGCCTTGCAAACCCTACAGGTCGACCTTAAGCTGCTTGACATCGGATCGATTTGCCTCCCCTTCGAACTCGTCCAGCCGTGAAAACAGCTCGTTGTTCCACTTGAGCACGAAAACTGAGGGCTTTCTCATTCCTCTTGCACCTTGACGTCGTCGCAGCCGGTGCCCTCCGCATTGGCCAGCGCGTCCGTTGACTGCTGCTTGCTCCTCTCAGCCGTTGCCAGGAGTAGCGCAGCCGCAGTTTCACGTTACTTGGCCACCGCGAGCGACTCCTGCAGCCGCGCCACGTTCGCAATGGCCTGCAAGTGGGCGCGTGTGCTCTGCGTCCTTCCAAGCCCCAGCGGCTCACTTGACCGCATCGGCTGCTGAGCGATCGCCGCCCTGCATCACCCCTGGCCGTCTCTTGAATTTGAACGCCTGCTGCAATAGACTGCCACCATCCGTTGGCGCGGGAGCTACGCTCTCGGTCCCGTTGCCACCACGACGGTTGCCCTCCACGTCATTGCGCGTCTCATGGCTGGTAGTGTTGGTCCCCATCTAGGACTTGTGGAATCGAACCTGTCGATTGCACTCCAAGCACGAAATCTTCTTGGCAACATGTCGATCGTCCCACTCGCGCCGACCGCACCCACCGCATCAGGACCACAGACGAGGAGGAAGGAGGAGGAGGAGGAGGAGGAGGAGGAGGAGGAAAGGATCAGGAGCAGGGGCAGGATGAGGAGGAGAAAGGGCAGGAGGAGGAGGAAGAGCAGGAGCAGAAGGAGGAGGAGAAGGAGGAGCAGGAGGAGGGAGGAGGGAGGAGCGAGGAGGGAGGAGAAGGAGGAGGAGGAGGAGGAGCAGGAGGAGGAGGAGGAGGGCGGAGGGAAGAGGGAGAGGAGATTTCTGTTTGAATCGTCACCTCCAGCTGTTACCCAGCCTGGGCGAAGTGGCCCAAGCACCGTGCGCAGGCATAGAGGCTGGGCTCTCTCCTGCAAGATGCGTTGGAGCCCCCAAGTTGCTTGCGTGACGCCCCAGAGGAGGGAGGGGAAGGGGGAGAAGGGAAGAGAAGAGAGATGTCTCTGGAGACCTGGCGGAATTCAAACGGCCAGCCCTTCCGAGTTTAGGCCTCTGGAGGCCCGTTTCGAGCAGCAGGCCATATCAAAAAGGCGCCGCGCAAACCAACATTCACGCGACTTATGTGGACGAGGTCTCTGAAGACAAGGATGCCGAGGGTATTTGAATGTGGGGATCAATCGGCTATCAATTCCCGCAGCCTCGCATTGAGATTTCTACGAACACATTTCGCCGCAAGGATCGACGCATCTTCTCCGCTCCCGGAGGAAATATTCTAGGATTGAAGATTCTAAGGTGGCCTCGCCCGTAGTTAGGATCAACCGGGCCCAGACGAAAAAGGAAAAGGAGACCACCGACGACGACGGCAAATACGAACGACAACGGCGACGACGACGACGACGCCACGGAAGAGGGATGGGGAAACGGGGTGTGGAGGGAGGTAGGAGTACGCTAAGGTCGGGCATTTTCCCCTACAGGCGGATTTTGGACGAAAAATAGAAGACATACCCCAAATACATTCAAAGATAGTCAAGTAATAGCCCTCCAACTATTTATTGGCTATTTTTGGGTATGCCTCCTGCAGTGGGACACGCCCGACTTAAACGGTAGGAGCACTCTCCGCCCAGCAGAATTGCGAGCACGAGCAGCGGCAGGAGCAGCGCGAGGAGGAGGGGCGAGGCTAGAGCGGGGCGCCGCTGAGACAGGAGGAGGGGGAGGAAGAGAAGGAAGGGGAGGAGGAAGGGGAGGAGGAGGGGGAGGAGGAGGAGGAAGGGGAGGAGGAAGGGGAGGAGGAGGAGGAGGAGGAGGAGGAGGAAAAGGAGAAGGGGGAGGAGGAGGAGGAGGAGGAGGAGGAGGAGGAGGAGGAGGAGGAGGAGGAGGAGGGAGGAGGGGGAGGAGGGGGAGGAGGAGGAGGGAGGAGGAGGAGGAGGAGGAGGAGGAGGAGGAGGGGGAGGACGGAGGGAGGCGCGGATCCTAGTAACAATAACAAGCGAACAGCACAAGGTTAACGTTTCGGAGGTCTGCGCGGGTCTGGATCGGCGCAGGATCCCTCCCCCCCAGCGCGCGGAGCTCGCTAGGAGCGGTGCCAGACGTGCCGCCAGGGGGGGCACCGACCCAAGAAATCCGCACGGACCTTCGGACGTTTCGTATGGTCTATAGCCTATCGATCCTCGAAAGGAGGGGGAGGGAGGGGGGCAAAGGCAAATGTAAGGCAAGGCAGGGCAAGGCAAGGCAAATAGGACAATAGGACAAGGCAAAGCCAATATGTAAATAAGGAACCCTCCGCCGACCAATAGGACAAGGCAAATGTAAGCGACAGGAAAGAAAACGAAAACGGAAGATATGGAACCGCCAAGGCAGGCGGCTTGCGTCGTCGTCGTCGTCGCCGTCGTCGACGCCGTCGTCATCGTCGTCGTCGTCCGCCGTCGGCCGTCGGCGTCGGCGTCGGCGTCGTCGTCGTCGGCCGTCATTCTTCGACGTCGCCGTCGACGTCGTGCTCGTCGGCCTCGTCGACGTCGGCCTCGCGCGCGCCCCCGTCGCCGTGCTCGAACCCTCGCTGCAGTCCGCGACGCCACCGCCAGCGGCGCGCGCCTCGCCTCCAACGCCTCCTCGCGCGACAACGCGCGGCGCAGCGCCGCGCGCGCGGCGCCTTCCGCCGCGGCGACGCCGACGGCCATGGCCGCGCGCCAGCGCGTTGGGCCTCCGCCCGCGACGGGGCCGGGCGGCTGCGCGTTCCCCGGGGTCATAGGGAAGAGAGGGGGATTCGAGAGGAAACACAAGAGGAGGGTAAGAGGAGGAGGAGGAGGAGGAGGAGGAAGAGGAAGAAAAAGAGGAGGAAAAGGATTAGGAAAAGGAGGAGGAGGAGGAGGAAGAGGGGTAACTAGAGGATGGGGATGCAAACGAGGCAAAGACGCTCTGACGAAAGGGAGAAGGCGAGGAGAAAGGAACGGAGGAACTTCCGTACATCCTGTTGCCGTCCCCCCCGAATCCGTCTCGGGGGCGGTCCGGTGGCCAACCGCCCCCCCAATCAGCACGGAGTTTCTGTGGACTCTGGGGGGGACACTCGCTCTAGTCCCCTGGCCGTCCCCACACCCCCCTCACCGGGGTGCCACAGCGCTCCGCCGCCGTGCACATGGCGCCGACGACCTTGAATGGTGACGACGACGACGACGACGCCGCCGACGACAACGACGACGAGAACGACGAGGACGACGACGACGGAGACGACGACGACGACGACACGACCATACGCAGTTGTGAACACCGTGGTGGCGAATTGCGAAATGTGAACACCATTTGCAGTTGTGAACACTCGTCATCGGTGGAACACCCTTTGGGACCACGGAAACTGTGAGAACTGCCGAAATAGTATTGGGACGGCACGCCGGCCTTGGCACAGGGGCCTCAAGTGGAGCCCCCGATGGGGCCACAATATGTAAGGTATGCGCCGAAATCGCACGGAAAAGGCATGCAAACCCCGGGAATGGCGCCTTTACTGGAACTCCCTTTGGGGCCATGAAGTGTGCGAGGGATGCGCCAGGAAGCATGCGGGCCCTGGCATTGCGGCCTCAGGCGGAGTTCCCCGCGGGTCCACGAAACGCGTGAAGGGGTGAGCCGAAGTAGTGAAGGAAAGGCGTGCGGGCGCAACCACTGGGGCCCTAGGAGGAGCGTCGTACAGCTTGGACGCCCGAAATGGGCACGGAATGCATGGGTATGGTGCCCAGTAGTGTAATGACAAGTAATGTCCGAAACCAACAGCGGCCGTTGCTGGGCAGGAGCCCCCCTGCCGCAAATGGACAACGCCCGCGGCAGCGCCGACAGCGAGTCTGGTTCCGAATGAACAGAACAAACTGCCTGTTGTTGTTTACATTATTGCGGTACCCGTGTCGATCGTGCCGATATAACGCCACATGCCGGGATGAAGTGCGCCAGAACCTGGCGCCACATATGCGGGCGCACCCCCTGGGGCCGTAGGTCGAGCCCCCTATGGGGCCACCGAGCGCGCGTCAGGGGTGCGCCGAACTCGCGCAGAGAAGGCCTGCCGGCGCAACCCCTGGAGGTTTAGGTGGAACTCTAAAACGCCAAGAAACGCGCGATACATTCGCCAAAATGGCGTGGAGAAGACATGCGCTCGCTGCCGCTGGAGTCCCAGATGGAGCGGGGCATTAAATCGTGCGAGGGATGCGCTGACATGGCGTGGAGACGGCATGCGGGCGCAACCGCTGGAACCTCATGACGATGCAAGGCGCGCGGCGCGCCCTGTTCTGCCCCGCGAACTTCGGCGGACATCGAGGCCGCGTGGCTCGGCGCTGAAGGCCGGCAAACGGCAACTGCCCGACGCTGGCTGGCCAAGCGCCTGCGCCCGGGGAAAGGCGCGGCTCACTCGCAGGCGTCCGCTCAGAAGAGCGGCCTGTCGCTCTCGGGGCCCGCGTCCGTATGGTCATGTTTGCCATTCGACGCCGGCTCCCGCCGCCCTCCTTGGTCTTGGCCTTCTCGCGGGCCGCCCCCAGGATGCGGTGCTTGGCCTTGCCCCCCTTCGCAGGCTGCCCGCACCTCGAGCACGCGCCGCGGCCGTAGGAGGCGCGCTGGCGGCCCATGGCGCCCTCGGCGCCCGGCGAGCCGGACCCGCCCAGGATCTCGACCGACCCTGCGATTCTGGATGGATCGCCGGGCCCGCCCCCGGCGCCTCCGTGCCCCGCGCTGGCGGAACGCCTCGGCCTGAATTTCACGGCTGGCTGCGCGTCGCCAGCGCCGCCTGGGGGGGCGCGCCATCGACGGCGCGGCCCCCGCCGCCCTCGCGCAGGCCCGCGGGCATCGCGCCAGCGCCGGCGCAGCCCTCGCGGGCGCCGCGCGACTCTGTCTGCAGCGCGTCTTCGAACGCCCTCGCAGGTGCAAGCGCCGCCGCCGCGGCTCTGGCGCGCCGGGGGGCCGATGCCGCGGGCCTCTTCGCGGCCCCGCTGGCTTCCGCATCGCGGGCGAAGGCGTGGGCCGCAAGCGGCGTTGCGAAGAACGCGCGCGCGCTCTCCGAGGCCCGTTCGAACGCCCCTCGAACAAGTTATCGCCCGGGCGCCTCCGACGCCGCCCTTCGCCATGACCATCTCGCGCTTGGCGAGTGCTAGCCCCGGCGCGGCATTCGAGCGCCCGTTCGCGCTGCCTGCGAGGTCGGCTACGCGGTTCGCCGCTCAACGTCCAGCCATCGCAATCCACGGGCCACCCTGTCCAGGGTGAGCGCGCTGCTTTGCCCGCCTAGCCCGCGGCGCTCGGGCGCGCGAAACTTCGGCGCCGCGAGCGCAGAGCGCCCGTCGGCCCCCGCCGACGCGCGACCTCGCCGCCCTCCGCGCCCTCGAGCGCGCCGCGGTGGCCCTCGACCTTCCGCGCCGCGAGGCCCCGGTCACCCAACTCGCCGAACTTGTCGAACGCGCGCAGGATGCCCCTCCAGACCTCTGCCTAAACGGCCCCGCGGGAAGTCGTCGCCGCGCGGCCTCCTTCCAGCGGCCCCTTCACCGCGCAGTCCGCGTTGAAGCGCGCCGTCGTCGGCGCCGCCGAACACTTCGAGTTCGCCTGCGGCGCGACCAGCTCGGCGCCGCCAATCGCCTAGAGCGGACTAAGTAGGGGGGGCCCGAGCGCTTTCACGCAAGACATGGGCCCTGGGTCGATGTCCTCTGCCCGGGGCGGTAGCTCCGCCTCCGCGCGCCCCGACGCCTCTGGCGCCGCGCGCGCCTCGTGGCCGCGCTCGCCAGAGAAGTGCTCCGTGCTCATGAAGGGCATCCCGACTCCTCACAGGCATTGCGGAAGATCGAGGATGTTGTCCCGGGGCGGGCCCCAGCTGCGCCAGTGCTCTGGGGGCCGCAGGTCTTTCGACGAAAGCACGGATCGCGCCGCTAGCGCGGAGCGGCTCGAGCATGGAACTCTCGCCGGGCTGGTCGAAGCCTGGCCAGCTCCTTGCGCGCCCCGAGTGGCGGCGCCACGGCGCGCCGATCTCGCGCCGGCGGAGCTGGCCGAACGGGGCGGGCGCCAGCCACGGGGCCGCCTCGCGCCTCGCACGCCCGGCACTGCCCGCGCGCCACCAGGGACATGGCGTAGCCCATCTCCATATCCGAGAGCAGCGACCTCCACTTTCGCCCCTCTGCAGTGGACGCGGCCCCTCTTGCGATCCACCTGCGAAGATGGCTCGCGGAGGCTCCGTTCTCGATGTCTACGCGCGCGTCGTTCGCGATCCGCTTGGCTCTCCAGGCCATCGCTCCCAGGCGCGGCACCTGCTTGACGTGCCAGAGCGAAGCCTCCGAAACATTGAGAACACTCTCGCTCCTTGGCCTGATCCACCCCTCGAGCCTTCGGACGCTGCGGCCGCCAATGGCCGTCGAGCCGGCGCCGGTCGGGCGGCCTGCTTGGCGCGCCCTTCAAAGACGGCTATCAGCGCAATGGCGCGGGCGAGGCCTTCCCGCGCCGCGCGCGCTAGAACGCCGACCGGCGCCGATGGAGCGCCGAATGTCGGATCGATTTCAGGGGGCCCGCCAGAAACAAGGCCATTCGTCGCGGACTGCCATTGCGGCGCGGGCTCGACAGCTGCGCGCGCAAACGCGCGCGCTCGGCTGAGCTCGCCCTCATTTCAGCCCCGAGCAGGACGAACCGTGCATGAGATGCTGCGTGAAGCGCGCGCGAAGGCGACCTTCGCCGCCGCTGCGCGGCCCCGTCGGAGCCCGTGAAACCCCCGTATACTGGGCAGACGTAGATTCGCAAGGCCGGGCTTCAGCTTCCAAACCAAATTAGCCTTGCGGCCGCCCTCGGCGCGACCGATGCCGAGGTTGCCCGCGCGGGCCGCCGAGCTCTTCACGGTGCCGCGAAGCGCGCGATGGGATGGGCTGACATGGCGCGTAGAAGGCGCGCGGGCGCAGCCTCTCGGGCCCCAGATGGAGCCCCCGCCGGGGCCGCAACAGCGTCCGCGGGCGCGTGCCAACACAGGGGCGGAGAAGGCATGATGCGGGCACAACGCCTGAGACCTGCGGCGGGGCCCCCCACGAGGGCGACGAAACGCGCGCGTGGCATGCCGACATGGCGCCGAGCGGCCATGCGGGCGCATACGCTGAGGCCATAGAGGGAGCCCCATGGGGCCACGAACGGCGCGAGGGGCGCGCCGACGATGAGGGCGCTAATGACGACGATGACGACGCCGATGCTGATGCCGACGCTGCCGATGACGATGAGGACGTGGAAGAAGACGACGACGACGGTAAGGACACGCGGAGGGCAGAAGATAAGAAGGAGGATGACGGAACAGGAGGAACTGTGGAATTCTGCCCGTGTGAGGTCAACTGGCGCTGCTACTCGCCTGTAAGAACCGACCTACCTTCGCCGCGTAGGGGATCTCCTCCTCTGGGGGGGGGGGGGGGGCGAAACGCCAAACTTGCCGAGCCGTCCGGCGCGGCCCGCGGCGCGCGGCGGGCGCCGCGCCGCCCCTGCGAGCCACCCCCGAACGGCGCGCAGCCCGCGGAGGGCCCGCGACTGGGGACCAGTGAAAATGCTGCCCGCGACCCTCTTCGTACTCGCCCTCGCCCTTGCCATTCGCCCTCGAAGACCCCCCCTGAATAGTCTGGGCATTTGGCGCTCGAAGACCGCGAGCGGCGGGCAAAAAGTGGGGGGAAGGTTTATATCTCCAGAAGAAACTGCACCCATGCGAATTAACTCAGCCAGCCCCCGCGC